TTGATACTGGCCTTGTCCCTTTTTTCGTAGTGCTCGACCAGATGTTCAGTCATATCGCATCTAGCAAGCATCTTATATTAATGTAAATGCAAGCCAACATAAATGCTAGCAACCTGCACTATATCAGCACAAATTATTCTGGAGAAGAAAGTTGCATTGTAATGCACATTGTAGAGTATGCTGCTACTAAGTTTTGGTACATATGCTTATGGAACTAATCTGACTTAATAAGTTATGCTGATTATGAATAATTGAGACAAAAGCGAGGGACACAGTTGATTGAGAATAGCTGATTGCATAACACAAAGGTGGACATCATAGCTTTGAGAAATAGCTATGGACATTGTGAAATAGCTTGATCTGTTTTTGTTCTTTTTTGTGTGTTGTTGTAATCACTGAGAGCTTTATTCTTTGAGTTTGAGTTATGTATATTGTAATAAACCAGTCAGGGTAGGCTTGTTTTAATTTCCTTCCTTATCCTCAATATTTTTGAGTACTACCAGAATGCTGTAAGCAACGGTCCGTGTATCATCCGATCATTTGATTTCCAATTTGAAATGAAATAAGCAGAAATGAGAAAACAGCACCTTTATTCGTTTTTTTTTTTTAAAAACGAAAAATCGAGATTTCGGCTTGATATTTCATTTTTTAGTTCACAGGCAAAAAACCAATACATGACTTCAAAATTCGTTTTCCACATGTGGGCGGTCATGGGACACCCCCTTCCGCTGATTAGGTCAAGTAAATCTGAGCATGTGACGTCATCAGTCATCGCTCAGGTCACAAAAGTTGGGCTAACTCAATTTTGGTAATTTTTTATTCTAAATATTAATTATTGAGTTGGCCAACTTAATTTAATTTACTGTAACATGTAGCCAACATTAAGTAGGCCTATAGGGTTATGCCGGTGAGGAAATTTTACCACTGATTAACTTATGACAACACCAGTTTTATTTGTTAATGTCTTCTGTAGATTTTGATCTTTATAAGTTGTTATGATAGGCCTATATTTTTAATGAAAACACAATTAAAAAAAACAACAACTTTTTATTACCAAATATACTATTAATAACACACGGGTGACCCAAAATACCCATATTATAACAAATAAATAAAATATATTTGGAAATTGCCCTTTAAAACGAAGGCTCAGTTTGTGGTCAACCGTTCACTATTATTTTATTGAAAACAATAAGTCACTTATATTAAACTTTTTTTTGTTGTTAACAGAAGTTATCTTGCCCCTTTAATTGCCTCCACTATCATCCTGAAAATTTTATTTCACCAACATCGGTACCCACCCTCAGCCGATTGGCATAATTACAGTATTTGCGATGACCATCCCATGTCCAAAACGGAGCTTATACTGTCTAAAAGAAAAGTTGTGACTGCTGACTGAACACTGGTCTGTGCCTCACCCGCTCTGCGCTGTCTAGCGCAGCACCACACAGATTTAACTCCGCACAGCTAAATAAAACAGGCTGGTGGCAGACTAATATTTAATATTTCTGATGTAAATATTTCTGTGAAACGCGTTAAGTTGCACAGAAGAAAGCCCAATCTAGGACCTGCCCTGTACAGTTTAAGAAGCGGTAGTAGAGGACTATTATTTTTTTTATTTTTTTAAATACAATAGTGCAAACACACATCTTTTAGAAATCAAACATTTCCAACAATGTATATATTAAACAAGTAAACTCATTCGTGCACAATCATAGCACAAAAATGGAAAGAGCTAAACAAAGAAGAAAAAACAGCAAACAGATATTAATCATGGTACATAAACTCTCTCTATATTTCTTCAAAAAAGAAGTACATTTTCTATTATCAATTATTCTTAGTGATTTGATTAAATATTTTACTTCACATAAGAAATCTTTAAAAGTAGGAATTTTCTTAAGAAACTTTTGTTTGTGAAAGTAAAAGTTTGCCACAAGGATAAGGTGCCATAATGAAACCTGTATCACCTATTTTGTTCTACAATATTTAATGATTGTACGAACAATGACAGTGAAACTATCGGTTGCTTGTGTGTGGGTGATCTATAGTTATGTTTCAATGGTATTTCACAGTAAATTTGTTTTTTGAACCAATGATTGTGCAAGTGCAAGATTTCTTTAAAGATGTGAATGCACAATGCAATGTTTTGAACATTAGACAGCCTGTGTTACAAGTGATAACCGTTTTGAGTTTTGTGTCTAGAGTTTTGAAAAATTACATCAAGGTTCTGAAAATAGTTGCAAAGTGATTGTAAAAAACTGTAATAGTCCTCAACGGTAATCTACTCATTAAGGATGTAATTTGTCTTTTTGAAAACCCAAACACATCTTTAGAATCTACTGGTAACTAGATCATTGTAAGGAAATGAATAGACACTCATTTGAAATGTAATGTGTGAATTGCCTTTTGAAATAGTGGTACTGTGATGTTAAGTTGTGTCATATTGAACAGGTGATTTTTGTTGAATGAACAAATGATCTAAGTTTTATGTGTATTGTATCCAAGCAATTGAGAAAAGGGTTAGAGTTTTGAAAAATGTGTATTTTGATCATTGGTTGTGAGTTTTGTGTCTAGAGTTGTGAAAAATGACATCACGGTTCTGAAAATAGTAACAAAGTGATTGTAAAAAACTGTATTTTGTTGAACAGACCTGAGCGATGACTGATGACGTCACATGCTCAGATTTACTTGACCAATCAGCGGAAGGGGGCATCTGATGACCGCCCACATGTGGAAAACGAATTTTGAAGTCATGTATTCGTTTTTTACGGAAGCCATGAACCGCAACGTAAAAAAAAAATAATCTAGCATTTCGAGATTAAAGTCGAAATATTTCGACATTAAAGTCGAAATATTTCGACATTAAAGTCGAAATATTTTTAGATTAAATTCGAGAGTACGAGAATACAGTCTTCCGTAGAAGTTGCGTGTGTGCTTGCCATTGTTTCACATTGCCACACACACAGGCATTCATAATGGTGCATAGCGAGTGTTTCACACTGTGTGTGTGTGTGTGTGTGTGTGTGTGTGTGTGTGTGTGTGTGTGTGTGTGTGTGTGTGTGTGTGTGTGTGTGTGTGTGTGTGTGTGTGTGTGTGTGTGTGTGTGTGTGTGTGTGTGTGTGTGTGTGTGTGTGTGTGTGTGTTTTGTTTCAACAAAAGGAAATTCAACAGGTGCCAATCTACCAGCATTAGGCTACCATTATAGGACGTTATACTGCGCCGGAATAGACTTTAGCCTATAGGAAAACCAACCCGGAAAACACTTTTCAGACTGGATGGAGATATCCAGCTTTATGAATGAATGAATGAATGAGGGATTTATTTAGCGCTTTCATATGTATACTAGGCCTACACTCAAAGCGCTTTACAATCATATCAGTCTCAACCACCATTAGTTATTAAATCTGAGGAAATCACGGGATCCGGCCAAATGATTGGATACAGAATGATGCACTTAAAATGTATCCAGAACGTATTTACGGTGAAGAGGGAGACAGAACGGTTACTGTTGTGTTCTCGACCCAGATAGTGTTGCCTAGACGAGCACGAAAACACCTCAAAAACACTGCCACATAAAGTTTGGACCAGATTGTGATACCTACTCCGGCGGAGTCTGTGCGCTCGTCTATAACGCCATGGTAATTCTTGTTGGTAGATTAGCACCTGTGTAGAATTTTGTTGAAAGCCTAGATAAAAGTAAAAAGCTACTATTTTGTGTTGAAAATTGTAATTCTAAATATTAATTATTGAGTTGAGCCAACTTAATTTTGAACAATTTAAATTGAGTTGGGCTAACTCAATTTTGGTATTTTTTAATTCTAAATATTAATTATTGAGTTGGGCCAACTTAATTTTGGAAAATTTTAATTGAGTTGGGCCAACTCAACTTTGGAAACTTTTAGTTCTAAATATTAATTATTGAGTTGGGTCAACTTAATTTTGTCAAATTTAAATTGAGTTGGGCCAACTCAATTTTGGAATTTATTTTGGAAAATTTTAATTCTAAATATTAATTTTTGAGTTGGGCCAACTTAATTTTGGAAAATTTTTGTTCTAAATATTAATTATTGAGTTGGGTCAACCTAGTTTTGGAAAATTTAAATTCTAAATATTAATTATTGAGTTGGATCAACTTAAATTTGAACAATTTAAATTGAGTTGGGCCAACTTAATTTTTAGAAAATTTAAATTCTAAATATCAATTATTGAGTTGGGACAACTTAATTTTGAACAATTTAAATTGAGTTGGGCCGACTTAATTTTAGAAAATATAAATTCTAAATATTAATTATTGAGTTGGGCCAACTCAATTTTGGAAAATTTTAATTCTAAATATTAATTATTGAGTTGGATCTACTTAATTTTGAACAATTTAAATTGAGTTGTTAAATTAAAGTTATTTAACTTTAATCTCGAAATGTTTCTACTTTAATCTCGTCAAAATATTTCGAGATTAAAGTCGAAAAATTTCGACTTTAATCTCGAAATGCTAGATTTTTTTTTACAGGTTTTTTTTTTTACTGTTTTTTTTTTTTTACGTTGCGGTTCAGGGCTTCCGTAGTTTTTTGCCTGTGAACTAAATAACGAAAAATCAAGCCGAAATCTCGGTTTTCGTTTTTTTTTTTTAAAACGAAAAAACGAATAAAGGTGCCGTTTTCTCATTTCTGCTTATTTCATTTCAAATTGGAAATCAAATGATCGGATGATACACGGACCAGCAACGTATCAGTCTGCATGAAACACTTTTTTCCTCATTTACATTCAAAACTGCTTAGTTTAAAAGCTTAAAAAATAGTTACAGTCCACAAAGTATGATATGGTTATTTTTCAAGTCTTTCCTGATGAACAAACGGTTAAAACCTGCCAAACTTGTTGAGTGGTATGAGCTGTTCTTCCATCCTGGTCATATGGTTTAGCAGGCTAGTTTTTTTAGAGGGATTTTGACCACTTTAGCCTGTCAGGATGGGAGACCAGTGAACACCAGCTTGGGCCAGGCAGGGTTTGGTGTTGTTGTTTTTCTTTTTTCTTTTTCTCCCAGCAGGGTTGTTAAACGAGCCTTTGGAGACCCCTCTTTGGCGACAAGGTGCAGTGCAGCTTCCAGGAAGCGACAACCCGGCGACACCAGCGACTGTCGGTGAGCCCAATTAGATCGCGTTGTTTATATCAAACAAGAAATACAACACGTTAATGAGTCGGTTAACCCACCTCCATGACTTCTCCAGAAGATGAAAGTGTTCCCTGGAGGCTAGTAGGTCCTGTGTCCGAGCTGTCCAAGAAACAATGTAGATTGATCTATTCATCTGATGGACGCGACGCGGATGTTTGTCTGTTTTATGTGAGCGGTGAATTCTTGGCGATGGACGCTCGCTGCGCTCATTCGGGTATGACAATGAATTATTCCACATTGTAGCTTGTATCGGTTTTTAAAGCGCTAGAAAAGGATGTAAAGCTACTTTAGCTAGCCAGCTAGCTTGCAGCAAGGACAGAAATGGTAAATAGGCTTTTAATTGTTTTGTCCGTTGTGCGGTGTGTTCATTCTCTACGCGCCATTTCATTAAATCACCATGGTAACCGTAGTTCCCTAAATGTTAGTTACATCACTGCGGTGCGTATGCTGTAAAATCATTAACATTATGTGATAATGTGATGTCCTGCAAACGTAATACGTTTTCAGGGTATTTCTCACCCTTTTTTTTATTGATGAGGATGATAATATTGTGGCAGCTAATGAAGTTTCCATTAAAGGTTCGTTCTATGAAACATTTCTTTTCTGTTTTGATATGTATGTGACAGATAATATGTCTAACGTTACACGTCAAATGCTAACGTTATCTGAATTGTGAAATTAAGTCAAATGACTTTCAGGAGGTCCGCTGTGTGATGGAGATATCGAGGAGGCCGATGGGATTCTTAAGGTTTTCTGTCCTTGGCATGACTATGACTTCAATCTCAAAACAGGGAAATCGAGCACAGGTTTACAGGTAAAGTAATTTTTTGGTTCAACATTTTAACTCATATATAAAGGAATGTTCCAGGTTCAGTACAAGTTAAGCTCAACAATAACATTTGTAGTATATTGTTGATTACCATAGAAAACGACTCGGTTACTAACGTAACCTCGGTTCCCTGAGAAGAGGGAACGAGTATTGCGTAAGTAGCTTACGCTATGGGGAAAACTCCTTTTCTCGAGAAATATTGAAGTCTTTATGTAAAACGCATTGCAGCTGCACAGCATACAGCAATGAGCGAGGCAGCTCGGTCATTGGCTGTGCTGCAGCAACTGCATGAACCTATGACGGGGCGACTCTGAACCCGCTTCCAATGAGCGTGCTTCGCGCCTACGCGCGTCAGAGCCCGCCAAGATGGGCGTGGCCAAGGGCTATATATTGAGCGCCCCGTCATCTGAGTTCTTTAGGTTCAATCGACTGAAGCAAACTGACCAAGCACAAGCACGGCAGCTTACGCAATACTCGTTCCCTCTTCTCAGGGAACCGAGGTTACGTTAGTAACCGAGTCGTTCTCTTTCGAGAGGTTCCTCTTATTGCGTAAGTAGCTTACGCTATGGGAACGCCATGTAAAACGCCGTGCGTGCTGACTTCGCTCTATTAAGCCGGAGGCAGATGCCTGAGCCTTTAAGCAAAGTAATTATCCAACGAGCCAGCCGAAGGCGGGCTTTATAAAGGACAAAGTGGAACGGCCCGATGGGCGTCCAGAGAAACACACAAGCACATTTGATGTACTGTCATGTATGAAAAATCCTCTACATCAGTCAGAGACGGATTCTATGAGGGAGGAGACAGCGCTCAGCATGTACACACCCCAGCCTATGCATAGTTAGACCGACAGTATGTTAGAGTGCAATGAGGGGACCTGTAGGTTATAAAACCTGATAAATGTTGACGGTGAGGCCCAGCCTGCTGCCGCACAAATATCTTGAATGGGTATCCCACTCGACCACGCCCACGAGGAGGCCATGCCTCTCGTAGAGTGAGCTCTAATGCCCAAGGGGCACTGAAGGCCCTTGGCTTCATAAGCCAGCGCTATAGCATCAACTATCCAGCGCGATATTCTCTGCTTTGAAACAGCGAGACCTTTGGTGCGGCCGCCAAAGCATACGAACAATTGCTCTGTCTGTCTGAACAGGGCAGAACGTTCCAAATATACTCTGAGCGCCCTGACCGGGCAGAGTAAATTAGCGTCGCTTTCGTCTGCTGGAGACGATAGCGCGGCCAAAGATATCACCTTGGGGGCACGGGGCACGCTTGAGTGCGTCCAGGACCGTGGCCAGGTCCCAGATCGGCACCGAGGGGGGGCGTGGGGGATTTATCCTCCTGGCGCCCCTCAGGAAACGAACGACTAGGTAGTTTTTCCCTAGTGTGCGTCCTTCCACAGGGTCGTGCGATGCTGCTATGGCAGCCACATATACTTTGAGCGTGGAGGGGGTGCGGCCTGCCTCCAACAGCTCTTGTAAGAAGACGAGCACACTCGGTACTTCGCATGACTCAGGGTTCAGGTTCCTGGATTTACACCAGTCACTGAACACCTTCCATTTCTGAGCATATAAGCGCCTCGTAGAGGGTGCTCGCGCCTCAGTGATGGTTCTTAACACTCCACTGGGGAGGTTCCTGGGAACCCGTTGAGGGGCCACGCATGGGGGGCCCACAGATCGGGGCGGGGATGGAGGATCATCCCGTTGGCCTGCCTGAGGAGGTCTAGCCTCAGTGGAATCGGCCATGGGGCAGATTTCATCATCTGCATCAGTTCTGGACACCACGTCTGGTTCTTCCAGAGTGGGGCTACCAGGAGCACTGCACATTTCTCCTCCCTGATCCGGCTGATGACCTGAGGTAGCATCGCGACCGGAGGGAAGGCATACAGCGGGCGGCTCGGCCAGACTTGGGCGAGCGCGTCTGTGCTCTTTGAAAAGAAGAGAGGGCAGTGCGCATTTTCCTCGGAGGCAAAGAGGTCGACCTCTGCTCTGCCAAAGGTTTGCCATAACCACTGAATCGTCAGGGGGTGGAGAGACCATTCTCCTGGGAGAACCTTGTCTCTGGACAGCATGTCCGCTCCCTGGTTCAGAGCACCTGGCACATGCGCTGCTCTCAGCGAGCGCAGGTTGCGCTGGGACCATAGGAGGAGCTCCCTGGCCATCGAGTGCAGGGAGCTCGATCTGAGTCCACCCTGACGATTTATATGCGAGACTACCGTCATGTTGTCCGTTCGGACTAGGACGTGCTCGTTCTTCAGGTACGGGAGCAGGGCTCTGAGAGCCAAAGCGACCGCTTTCAATTCCAGACAGTTTATATGAAGGCGCTTCTCCGGGTTTGACCACAAGCCGGAGACAGGCCTGCCCTCGTAAAGGGCCCCCCAGCCTATTTTGGAGGCATCTGTCGTGATCATTTTTCTCCTTGTGTTCACGCCCAAACTCACGCCGGACTGATACCAGTCTACAGCTTTCCAGGGCGTCAGGGCTTTTATGCAGCCGTGATTCGCTCTGATTAAAAAGTGGCCCGAGCGCCATGCGTGAGTGGGGACACGGCTTTTGAGCCAGCGTTGGAGAGGACGCATGTGCAACAATCCTAGCTGGAGTACAGCTAATGCTGAGGCCATGAGACCGAGCATCCTTTGAAATCGCTTGACGGGGGCGCGCGCACCCGCTCTGAACGATGTTGCAAGGCGCCGGATAGTGAGCGCGCGCTCTGACGAGAGGCGCGCCGTCATCTGCACTGAGTCTAGCACTATTCCCAGAAAAGAAATATTCTGGCTGGGGGATAGCCTGCTCTTTGCAAAATTGATTCTTAGACCCAGGCGATCTAGATGACTGATAATCCAAGACCTGTGTGTCACTAACTGGCTCTCTGATTGTGCTAGGATTAGCCAATCGTCGAGATAATTTAGTATTCGCACTCCCCGCTGTCTCAGGGGGGAAAGTGCTGCATCCATACATTTCGTAAATGTACGGGGTGCCAGTGACAGGCCGAATGGTAGTACTGTGTACTGGTATGACTGTCCCTCGAAAGCGAATCTCAGAAAAGGCGCTATCGGAATGTGAAAGTAAGCGTCTTTCAGATCCACTGATAGAAACCAATCCCCTGGGCGAACCTGCGCGAGGATATGTTTGGTTGTTAACATTCTGAACGAGCGAATCATTAAAGCTTTGTTCAGATGTCTGAGATCCAGAATGGGGCGGAGACCGCCATCCTTTTTCGGGACGAGAAAATAGCGGCTGTAAAAAACCTGCCTCGCTCATAGAGGGAGGGACTGTCTCTATAGCGCCTTTCTCTATCAGTTTGAGCATCTCGGTGCGTAGAACGTGAAACATCTTCTCTCACTTTCGTCTCGACCACTGCTGTGAAGCGGGGCGGTCTGCGAGCGAATTGAAGCGAGTAACCGTGTTTTATTATGTTCAAAACCCATTTCGGCATGTCGGGGATATTTTCCCAAGCTTTCGCTCGCACAGATATGGGCTGAATGCTGGCTGGGGGCGTGTCGCAGTGACGTATGGCTCCCGCCAGCGAATCGCCTTGTGCTAATGTCGAGCTTACAGCTCTCAGCGGCGCGGGCGCGCGCTGAGCAGCTTTGTTGAATGTCGAGTGCAGGGGTGTGTGTGAGATTACAGGCACGCTCGCCGTAATGCTCACAGAGCGAGATGGGGAAATGTTTAACACTGTATGGGTAGTGCTTATGGGTGGGGGTGCATAAACTGTGGTAGGCACGCGCGCCACTTTCATAAAACTTCCCGCTCGCGGCGGGAGGTTTTTGGTCATATAAACAGTGTTTGTGAGTTGGGGTGCATGCATAACAGCGGGCACACGCGCCACTCTTATAAAACTTCCCGCTTTTACTGGGGAAGTGTTTATAACTCTGGGAACAGTGCTTATGTGTAGTGGTGCATACGTGACAGTTGGCACACAATCTACATTTATGGGGCGTCCAGCTTGAGCTGGGAAAACATTTGGCACTGCGTTGACAGTTTTGATATGTGGGAATGCGCACTTTGGTGTGGACACGTGACCCTTTAATGACACAGGCAAAAAATAGCTCTTTATGTGATTTCTGTGTGTCGCCGTAAAAACGGCGTTTGTTTGCAGGTGGGCGAGCTGTGTTGCTGGCATATTGGCTGCTGTATAGACATTTCCAGCCGCCTGTAAGGGGACTGGGTAATGCTTTAAACGTTTTGGAGAGAACGGTCCGGCTCTTGCGAGACACGCGCTCCCCCTTTTTCTCCCTGTAGCTAGGAGGACTTACGAGGCTCTGGGTTCAGCACAATCTTGGGCCGAGGTCCCCGTCGCTCGGGCGGTTGCTTCCTGTTGGCAGAGCGCGAGCGGCGTCGAAAATCTGTTTCAGGTCTGGGCTGAGAGACGGGAGGCGCCGTCTTAGCTCGCTGCTGCTGAGGCGGCCTTTGGCGGCTCTTTGCGAGGCCCAGGGCGTCACACTCGGGACATCCGCCTCGAGTAAGGGCAGCCTCTGCGTGGTCCGGTCCCAGGCAGCGGGCACAGATGATGTGACGATCCCCGTCCTGAAGAGGGCCTCGACACGAGGCGCAGGAAGGCATTTGAAACAACGCCTCGTAAAATTTGCTCTTTTAGAAGTGTCGCGGGGGCGAACACTGAAAGCTTTGTAAAAGGATATTCAGATGATGTGCGCCGGATGGCTTAGCAGAAAGGCGATCGAAGGCGGCTGAAGGCGCCGGCGTCCTCGAAGCAGTCCTGCTGTAGGCTTGTCGACGGCGGCGGCGAAGAGACTCCAATAAATCCGGAGGATCCAGCGAAGAGAAGGTTCTTTGCTGAAGGAGATTAAATCTAAAGAACTCAGATGACGGGGCGCTCAATATATAGCCCTTGGCCACGCCCATCTTGGCGGGCTCTGACGCGCGTAGGCGCGAAGCACGCTCATTGGAAGCGGGTTCAGAGTCGCCCCCTCATAGGTTCGTGCAGTTGCTGCAGCACAGCCAATGACCGAGCTGCCTCGCTCATTGCTGTATGCTGTGCAGCTGCAATGCGTTTTACATAAAGACTTCAATATTTCTCGAGAAAAGGAGTTTTCCCCATAGCGTAAGCTACTTACGCAATAAGAGGAACCTCTCGAAAGGGAACTATTTCAACTTGTACCTTTGCAAAAATCTATGGAAGCTTGTTTCTGCCACGGAATGAAAAAATAAATAATTAAAAAAAATTATCTCCAATTACAACTTTTTTCTCAGAATTGTGAGATATAAACTTGCAATTGCGAGTTAAAGTCAGAATTGCGGGATATAAAATCGCAGTTCTGACTTTATCTCACTATTCAGACTTTTTTTCTTGCAATTTAAGTTTATATCTCTCAGTCATATCTCAAAAAGTCTCAATTACTTTTCTTTTTTTTCGTGGTGGAAACAAGCTTCCTTTCAAATCACTATTACAGTAGGACACTTACAATGGAAGTAATTGGGGCCAGGCAACAAAGGTTTATCGCAAGATGGCCAAAATATTATACAGGTTAACATGAGTGTGGTGAAATCTTGTCCAATCTTTCAACTTTGTTGTCATGATACCTCCTCTACAGGATATGAAGGGAAGTGACATAACTCTCTTGTTGAACGGGTAAATTGTCTGACTGTTCTCTTTAATCAGAAGAACATAACACTTATGTTCTAGTTATCGACATACATTCAGATCCAATGGCAAAAAAAGAGAAATAGTCTTCAAAATAGTTTGAAAGACTAATAAAATAGTTATTATTTCAGCCAACAGATGAGATCAGATGATCTATGTTCAACACCTACATATATTACATTGCTTTTGAACAGTAATCCCGCTGTAAAAAAAAAAGGCTATATATTTTTTTGAAGTAAGAATTAATAAGTGCTTAAAAAAATATGAGCTTCACATTTCGTCCTTCAAACTCTCCATATGCTGGCGCTGTTTACATACCTTTTTTAAACTAAGAGGCGGATCAAAATTATTTTCTGGGGTAACTCATACAACAAATGCTGTTGAAAATGCCTAATTTGTTTTGACTCTGGAACATTCCTTAAAGTTATATCAGACGTGATTATGTTTGGAAAAGCAGCACATACGAGAAGTATCTAACTATGTTACTTTATATGAATCTCTAATATAAGTAGCATTTCTTGAATCAGTGAGATGCTTGTATGTTCCTCCTAGAGATCATTGTATACACTAGATTTCATTACTCAGCAGTAAAGGGGCAGCAGTCAGCCAGTTGAACCAGTTAAGTTAGGCAGTGATTCAGCCGATGATTCAGCGTCCCCGAAAAACACTTGTATTTTAAAATTAAAACCACATTTGTTGTGCCATCACTTTAACTCAGTATGGCACCAAACATTATCTCACGCGGTAATGGATTGTACATCCACAGAAACATACAGAAGTCATTGCTGCCAAACAGACGTTTGGAAAGTTCCTAAGAATTCAACTTCCATCATTTTGGCACGTTTCAATTTAGCCAAGCATCTGCTTTTTTAATAAACAGACGAAATGTGTTCTCTCATGCTGCGAATAAATAATTGGGCGGTTGGACGTGACAGCAAACTCCGTCCAATCAATATAAGGCAAAGTCTCTGTAAACCAATCCATAATTACGACAGTCATCCTGGGGGGCTCGACACCTTGAAATGTTCTGTAATTATACTCTATTCCCACCACCGGTTCACATCCACCGTGCTCGTATATCAAAGTACCTTCCTAGCTTTAGGCTTTTACAGCTGTGCAAGCAGAAATAGAGAGTCAGATGCATTGCAGGCGGGCTTCGTTTTATTTCTCCTTCAAAATGTATAGTTTTTTCCTTTTCTTTTTTTAGCAACAAGTTTATGAAGTGAAATTGGAGGACGGCAACGTATACGTCAAGCACGCAAGCGAGCTCTCGTTACAGCCTTTCGGACAGGTCAAAGAGCACTGAAGTTCTTGGTTACTCTTCTCTTGAACTAAATCATCTGTTTGGATCCAGTTACTGTGGGTAATATTTGAAAATGATGCAGTCTTTTAGTTGAATAAACTTTCCTGTTCTCCATTGGAGCAGTTGTTAATGTTTGTGACAGTTTGTATATATAGGCCTACACTACGAATTAAAGATCGTTCTTTAATGTTGTAAGCAAATTGCTTCAAATGACACTAACATTAACATTGTTTTCTGACATTTAGATGATATATTTGAATGATTTATTTGAATTGTTATAAATATTTTAAAATGTAAATTGTCAATATTTATATGCAAGATTTATTGAACTCAGGGAAAATAAGGTCACAGACAGCGGCTTAATTATTCTTAGTTTTAGCTTCATAATTGTTAGTACTCCATAGATGTTAATGTGTTTCTCTCTAGGGCTGTAATTAATGTTTACAGTTGTAACTTGCCATAATTATACCCTCTTAGATCCAATCCTCTTGAGTGTCAGGTAGAAATGACTTTCACCGGAGGGACATTAAGTGACTTCTGAGGATTCCTCTAATTACTTGGTTGACTTGTTTTTTTAATCTTATGATTCCATTATGATGTGTACTTGTCTTTGTTGAAAAAAATTACATATACATTCTTATTTCAAACATTCTTCCAATTTATCCTACCCCTATAAAATATAATTTAATGCAATATATATATATATATATATATATATATATATATATATAGGTTATTTGTAGTTAAAGCTATGCAATGCTCAAACATTGGCTCAAACATTTTGGCTGCTTGTGATTTCTGGGTTGTTGTTTTGTTTGTTTACACATTTTGTATTTAACTTTGATGGAATAAAAATCGAACATGTCAATCGAACATGTTTACAAGAGATCTTTATTTACATTCTGGTAAAATTGACAGACATTTTAATCCACAATTTACACATAAAACTGGCTTTGAGATAGCAAGGCAGGAAATTTCATGCAGTCTAAGCTACAATATGATTTGCAGCATTTGTTTTACGTAAGATGTTTGTGAAGCAAGCATGAAGAGAGATTTCCGAGAGCGCCGAGGCGATTATTCAACTCTCACTTTGTAGTGTAGACAATGCGGTAGAGTTATCAACGCACATTTTGCCAGAGGATATTCCTGGAAATTTTGTAGTCTCCCTGAGACCAGCCAGACAGTTGAAGCGAGGACAAACACTCTTTTGAAAGCTAACTGGAGGCCAACTTTTTATTTTTTAGCACCGTATTCATCCAATATCCACCTCGCCTCTGAAATAAAAATGTACAGTATAGATATGCTGAAAGGTTACATTAACTGGATATATTACAAAATTACAGAAGTTTATTCAAGTTACAAATTTATGACTCAACATCACTTACAGGTGAGACTGTCTGGGATAGAAAAAACAAACAAACAAACATGATTTTAGTTGTTTTAAGTGTGTACTTGGTGTACAGCAATGTGTTTTACAGTTTAAATGGGAAAAATGGATTGGAGGTTCATGATATTTTATTTCCCTAATGAATTTAGTTGGCCACAACAATGTGCTGTTAATGGCACAATTTAACATACTTTTTACATATTGCAGTCTGTTTTAATATCCGATTACATTTGGTCTTTTAGGAGAGTTCATTAACTTTGCAAATAGTGATCATCTGCAATTTTAGAACAATTCTCCCACAATTTTATAGTGTACATTTCTTCATTGGATCATCTATCTTTTATTCAGATGAATCTGATGAATGATATTGTTGTTTAATTTGATTTTATTTCACAAAATTGTTTATATTCTACCTGCACTGGGCAAGCTGTACATCTTTGGAGACACAGACAATAAACTTTTCCTCCATTATCTGTTAAAACATGCACCGTAATCCCTCAACCCAATTAACTACCTTCTCTGAACCAACGCAGGATAATGAGGAATTTTAACGCATAAGGGATTAGACAAATCAAAGCAGAATTACCATAACAAAATCCTATTCGCAATGTTTAACTATACAAAACAAACCTCAGAAAATACAGTTGTCCTGCTCATGCAGGTCTGCATTATTTTTTATGGTCCAATAAATGTAGAAGTTTTTTTGTAAATGTCCATAGTTACTTCAGGGTGGTTTTAAAATACTGCAACTGCACTTATGTTGCATTGTCAGAAGGCTGCATTGGATTAGCAAGCTCAGATTCATTATATCTAGGTTAAAAAACAGGTACTATGTCATTTGAAATTCAGATATACACTTACTGAGGGAATAGCCCAACATTTTAAACAGACCTATGGCTGATTGGCTCATTACATAAGACGTTTTTTGTTAGGACTCTCAAGTCATTATTGGAACACAATATTGCACTTTAGGAGACAGACAGAAACAAGAAACAAAATACAATCAGTTTACCCTAAGATCTAGACATCATACACTGAGATGTACTGTATTAGTTGGATTTCATATCAAAAGAAAACGTTTAATTAGGCCAGCCATGCAATTAAAAGGATGAGGAGGGGATTTCAAAAAAGGCGATTTTGCAAGTCAGGGCCATTATATCATTCTTTATATGTCACCACATGTTTGTTTAATTTTCCTTATTCGGTTAAGGGGTGCAATTTTTGGCTAGAGTCAGTCATGCTTTGGTCAGACCGATAGTAGGCCAAATCACAACAAAAAGGTGACGAGACAGAACAAGCATCTTTACTGCCTCAGGTCTAGTTCATTGCATCAATATGTCGTTGATGAAAGGATTAGCAGCTGTCACACTTGACCTTAACCCATACAGACTTGTCTCACCTATTTAGCCTGTAATCAATGGAAGACACTGGTCAATTAGAGAAAATGAGTCAATAATCTAAAAGTAGGACACTCCACATAAGCACGTTTTGACATTTAAAATAAATAAATGACATCATCCTGTATTAGTATTTGGCCTAATCAAAAAATTAATGTCTTAAACAATGAAGTAAACTTGAGAGGACAGTTTTCCATACACAAACAGAAAGAGTTTAAATGTGTTCGGATAAATCAGGTAAGGATTTTGCTCCGTTAGGACAAAGCATCCAATATCACCCAGCTGGCCAAGTTTAGGATTTCCATTGCAGGTTTTTTTTTTTTTGGTCTCATTTCTTCATTCTTTTCAACCAGAAAAGCCTGCATGTGGACAGAAAGCATACACTTAATTTTCATCAACATCTTGAAATTATTTTTTAAAAAGTGCACTCGGAGAACTCACCTAAAGAAATGTCTACTGTCTTGGTTGTGTCCTTGTAGCAGGTCTCCTTCTGTTAGTGTTCGTGGCTCTGCGGTTCTGGCTCCTGCCCTGTTGGCCAAAGGGGTAGGCCACCATTTGGGTTGACCCTCTTCTGACTTGCAGTCCCTGGGACTCCCTCATCTCCCGCGCCATCTGTGTTAGTGTTAGGCCAGGATTTGTTTGCAAGCGCTGGAATAAGCTCTCACGATTCACAGTTCTTTTAGGGCAGCTGAACGTTAGTGCCACTCCAGAATCTGACTTCATCTCCCTGGAAAAACCATCTGAAGTTCCATCAAAGCAACGGCCAATGGCGATCTCTTTGGCAACGCGTGGGTTCTGGTCTGTGACGGTGTATATTCCGTAATTGTGTCCAAGGGGATCAACAGGAGCTAACATATTGAATGCATGAGATTCATTGTTCTGAACAACAGGAGGATGCTTTATTAGATACTCTTGCAGGAGACCGTTGGTGCCTATCCGACGGCAGTTGCCTTGTGGAATCACAGAAATGAGTGACCTGTCTACAATAAATTGATCAAAGAGCATCCCGCTGCACTTGAACTCAAGACAAGCTGCAGAGGTGTTGGGATGGTTTAAGTCACGGGTACTACGAATGTCTCTGATGCCATACAACTGACCCCTTGTTTGAGGATGAGTGCCACCAAGGTTTTTTGACCTTACCATGATTTCTGTTGCTCCATGAATCTTAACTTTGATGAAGCAAGCCCTGAACTCTTGTGGATTTGGCCACCAGGAAAGGTAGTCTCCAGTCCAAGATGTGAGGTCACTCTCCTGAAAGGGTACCACGTTGTACTCGTACTTATCTTTTTCGACACGGAAGAAACGAAAGTGGTTGGCATCAACAGGTGCATTTTCACATGAAATTAAACTCTGGTAAGGATAGATTGGACCGTTCGTTTCATCAAAATTGTTAGGGTTTGGTTTGGCCAGGTTGATTCGGAAAGCTGTTTTCTTAAGTGCTGGATCCTCATGATCTGAGCGCTGGTAATCTAACTTCCCTAAGTAAGGCTGAGACACTCCAATAATGTTTGGGTTCAATTTTGGCATTGAGGGGGCAGCTTCCAATTCCTCACCTCCCATTATTGCCGTGACATAAGCCGTGTACGCGTCAGCCCTCTGAGCATCGCAGAAAGCTGGAAGACAAGCACCGTTTGGTCCTGTTATCACACTATCAAAACGACCCCATGCCCTTGGATTTGACGAGTAACCAGGCTTGGGCTCCAGGTTTATCAAGTTTATTACTACTCCTTCTATTTGCTCGTTGGGCAGGAACTTGTCGCTCATGTACGCCCTCACCTTGACATAGCAGCGGCGATTTTCAGGTACATCGAGATTGAACAATCTACGCTCCCTGATTTCCATATTTCCGATTAGGAAAGTGCGCTCCTCTCGTTTATTCCTCCCACTGCCAGCAATGGTGCTTTGTGTGGGTTGAAAGTTACTTTCCTCCTCCCAAATGCCTGTGTCGGGATTGAGGGACCAGAGTTTCATAGTAGGAATGTGCTCCTGCATTTTAACATGCTCTGTATCGAGGAGAACTTGGACTGCGCCGGCTCCTAGAACCTCCTGGTTTGCCCCATCTCGGAAATCTACTGAAAACATTCCGTATGTCCTGAGAGGGAGCATGTCTCCTTCATCGTCTACAAAGTTGAGATCACCAGGGGCAGCAGCAGCCATGGTAATGTTGCGTGGGTCAAGGAACGTGACGCTGGCCTTAACGGTCCCTTCATACACTTCCCCTGTGTTTTTATGGAAAGAGTTTGGAGGTATGACCAGTTGACCGATAGGGTCCTCGCCTTTAATTTCACCTAGGTAAATGGTATTGCTTTCTGCAGCATTGATATCAACAGGTTCCTGCTTCCTCATCACTTTTACATCATGATAGACTGCACCACCTCTTTTGTCAAAAATAAAAACCTTGATTGTGTCAATGAACTTCTCAGAAGGGTCGACAAAGTTTACCACAAGACGCTGTGTGTCTGGAGACACCTGGATTGTGAACCCACCCTGATATCCCGTGGTACCTATCCGTTCCTTCCCTATGTAAATGTATCCAAAGCGAAGGGGTTCATCATTGTCTGTCGCCACCACCCTGCCCCGTACAAGGACTCTGGGCTCCACACAGGTCTGGCAGCCACATTCACTCACAACCTTGATAGGCAGGGTGTAACGGCCACAGTTGATCTCTCTAGTGTCCAATTGTTTGACCCCACAGCAGAAGCCGGATCCATCCCTGCAGCGCATATCAAAGTCCAGCGACCCAGGGCATTTGTTGTGTGGACAGCGACCTGCATTGTAAAACTTGGAGTCTGTTCCTGGCTGCTTGCAGTCAAATGGCAATTTGATCAAGTGAGAATCAGGTGTCGAGTTGCATGCTGGTGATCCTTTAGCTGTGAAAACAAAATGCGAGATCAGTGTGCTACATTTTCAATGCATACAGAATATTTATGGGCACTGTAAAAATGTTGTTTTCTCAAATATTTGAATATATTTTAAAACAGATCAATTTACTTGATGAGAATTTTTATTTTGTTCATTTAAAAAATTAAGTTTATTTTTTCTTATCCCACTGGCTTTTTCCTTTTTTAAGCATAAAACTCACGAAACTTTGTAAGATTAATTCTTAAAACAGAGAGAAAGAAAATTCTATAAAGTATATTTTCCTTGTTATAAAGATGTTTTGATAGTATTTTGTAAAAAAAATGTTTTACAAAAATATTTTACAGTGTTTATCTTGTTATCTGAGCCAAAGACTTTACATACCACTTTGTTTTAAAGCAAAATATTAATAAGTTTTAAAAAAACTGCCTTCAATAATATGGTAATGAACAATTGCGAACAAATAAAACTGGGTCACTGAAAAGGGAGTCTGATGACTTGCCAAAGTATTGTTTCTGATTAAATTAAATCTCATTCTGTTAGCATGTTAATGACTGCAGTCATTATTGTCACATTACCACTCCACTGTAAATGCTGTTCATTTATTCATTAGAGAGCTGTTTTTCCTTTAAAATGACACTTATTCGAGACAGCAACCATGTAATCTTATTTGAGGTTGATGAAATTTAATTTACAGAAAACTTTTCTCCTGTAGCTGTTGTTTAAATGCCAGAGTGAATACAAAACACATTAATCATACTCCATTAAGAGTCCTGCTGTGACAGGTGTTAGTGTTTCATTCAGAAAAGCACATTTCATATGCCATAATGATTAAGAAGCAAAGAGATCCCTCAGACAAAGTCTAGGGCTGATTGCTTTAGCACACGTTTTCAGCAGACTATTTTTGACAATCTATATCTTGGATAATAAGCATCATGGGAATTTTCAGAATGTGTACTTATGTGCGCAAAAGTAGAAATACATACTTGTCTGAGGATGAAAAAACAGGATTTATTGAAGAGCTTGGATTTCACTTTAATATGGAGAGTTTGTGGGATTTAAGGATTTTAGTCTGCTCACAACGACTTCTTGCCAGTCATTCCTTGTTTAGAAAGTGGTAATTTCTACCAACTTAAACATAATAAAACATTGTACCGCACATGTCACTAGACATTATAGACTTTAATATTTCATTGGAGACCTCAATATTTAATGGGATTATTTTTCTTCTTTAGGGACATTTTAACATATCCCTCTTGCCCTCTAAAATGGTTTTGCACTTACCGAAAACAGTGAGGACGGCTGAAGTAGACTTGATGCTGCCAGTCAGACTAGTTGCTTTGCAGTGATATTGTCCTGACTGCTCTGTCTTCAGGTCCCTCAATATCAAATCTTCATCGTACTTGTATTTTGTGCGATTCAATAAAGTTCCATTGTGATACCTTTGAATCAAACAAATCCATTTTTTTGTAACTAAGACATTAACGCCACATGTCAGAAAATCTAATTATAAACATCATTGTTTTTACCAGTAATATTTGTCAGGTTTTGGTGTTCCTGTTGCTCTACAGCAAAGGGTTGCACGTTGTCCCTCATAACGTACTTTGTCTTCAGGATGTTTATCAATATATGGCTTTTCTGTAAGACATAAAACAGAGAAACCAATAATGCAACAACTCATGGTAAGATTTGTTCAAATTAAAGGGTTAGTTCACTCAAAATTTTAAAATTATCCCATAATATACTCAACCTCAAGCCATCCTAGGTGTATATGACTTTCTTCTTTCAGCCAAACACAATCAGAGTTATATAAAAAACTATCCTGGCTCTTCCAAGATTTATAATGGGAGTGAATAGTAACTAAGATTTTGCAGCCGTCCGTGCGTTCACAAGAGAGTCAAGTTCTATCATATGACGTAGGATGTAGGAGTAGCGTAAGCTTAGGTGAGAGTAGATGCCTCTCGCGGTTCAAACTAACAACGGAGCAACAAACTCAAGCTCCTCCAACATTTCTCTTTTAAAATTCTCGCTTTAGACTTCTAATTTGTGACCGTTGTTTTGTTTTGCTCTATCCTCTGTGCTTCCACATTCATCTAAACGCCATGCGTCGGGTCAGAGTTCACTCTTCCACTGGAACTCGACTCGCGTACAGAAGCCAGTCATTATAGTTTAAAAAAGTTATAAATATGGATATTTTTCTTACAAAAACGCATCACTTCGCTTCAGAAGGCATTTATTAACCCCCTGGAGTCGTATGGATTACTTATATGATGGATGGATGCGCTTTTTTGGGCTTCAAAATCTATTCACTATTCACTCCCATTATAAAGCTGGGAAGAGCCAGGATATTTTTTAATATAACTCAGATTGTGTTTGGCTGAAATAAGAAAGTCATTTACACCTAGGATGGCTTGAGAGTGAGTAAATTATGGGATCATTTTCATTTTTGGATGAACTAACCCTTTAAGTTATCAATGTGGGATAATTCATATCCAACTTCAGTGTATTAATATTATAACTTTTTCACGTTTTCTTCGTTTCTTTACCTGAGGATCGTAAGACGCCCCGTACCCAGAGTTCATCAGTGCTGTTGATGGAAACAGGGAGAGTGATGGGTGAAAATTTATCCTTCTGTATGACTACTCGGGTCTGAGGGTTGGTGCACAGTCCTTCAATCTTGAATTGACCCTTGGCATCAGTGTAGGCACGGATGACCTTGGCTTGGCTGGCCAGAGCCACTGTGGCGTTAGCCACTGGGACACCTGTAACGCTGAAGACCTCCCCTTGTAGTGTCTGTCCATCGCAGATACAGTAGCTGCAGTCCTTATTGGGACGTCCCCCAGGACAGACACGTTTGCATGCCACTGTAAAAAATAATATAGGTGTTTTGATTTCAAGGTAGCAAAAAATAATATGGCTTTTCAAAGATTGTGTGTTTTGTAATACACAATACCTGGGCATGGATTTCCACACTTTTGGACCTCTACTGGTCGTCCTGTACACTGAATTTTAGTTGAAGATCTGTGACATGTCCTACGTCTTGTCCTGCGTCCCTTCCCACAGGTCACTGAGCAAGCACTCCATGAACCCCATTGGCTCCATAAGGCTTTTTAGTCGAGATTTGAGGGAAAAAAGTGGTTAATTAACATAACTAGATCGCAACATCTTGGCAAACACCCACAACGCCCTAGCATCACGGCGGAAAGTTTTGCACATGAAAATGCCACTCACATTATTTTACTATTTTAAAATATGATGTGTGTGTGTGTGTGTGTGTATACAGAAATGTCAGACTCCATTTTGACATCTTTGCCAGTGTGGTTACATTGATTTTATGATCAAAGACAACAAAGCTTAGTCTGTACATACAGAAACATGTTTAGGTTTAACCAGCTAATTGGGCACCACATGTGTCATGTAAATGTCAGCAGGATGTGATCGCTCTCGAGGATCATGAGTGGAAAATAAGCCTCATTTCTGAGTTGATTGTCATAATAATTTAGGTGATTCAAAAATGCGTCGAAAACAAACCTTTGGACGTATCTATGAAGAGCATTACAATGAGCGCGTGACACCTCGCTGCTGTTTAAAAATCTGGCTTATCCTGCCGAAAAAAGTTTAAACCAACCTAAGATGGTTTGATGGGTTTTTTTGGGGTACTTTGAAACAACTGGTTGACTAGCTAAGCCATCATAGTGCCATCTTAGCCAGGTTGGGAGATCAACTAAAACAGATCAAAACTAACTAAAAACAATCTTCCATTGTTTTAAGTGTTTTTTAGCAGACGCTACTGAAACCTAGCAATGAAGACTAGAAATGCATATTATATCAGTAAGTGTTATAAAAATGTAAAGTTTGTCTCCAAATTCATATTCGTTTGACATTTACCTTGACATGGTGGGGTTGAACACTCTCTCCGTTCGATGTGAGGTCCCACACAGACGGGCGAAAGCAGCAAGGGAAGAGGTTGTGTGCTCATGCATTTCCTCTGACGCACTTGGATGCCAACATCATTACAGGCGGTGGCAGAGCAAGGTGTCCATTCGCTCCAGTCGGTCCAGTATGAGTGGACTTAAGAAACGACAACAAAAAACTCATATGTTAAAATGCATAACACTCATGTGTTCAAATGATGCATATGCCTCCATATGGAATACACTTCTCTACTTTGATGGATTGTCTCTTGACTAATTGTACCTGGTGGACACTGGAATCGCACATGGTAGTTGGAGCAGCTGCGACCAAATGGCTGCTCCTTATTGATGCACCAGAAGCCTTTCTCCAGACTGGAATGGACCACCTCCCCTGTTTCCGCAGCTGCAACCCAGTCCGTGGTGCGGGCCTCCATGGCTACAGGTCGTGAGCAAACCCTTTCCCGATAGTAGAAGCGAATGGCTTCTAACCTCTCATAGTCGCCGTTTCCTCCCGGATGGTCGATATTGAACCAGGATGTCCACTCGGTCACGCCTGGGTTACACAAAACAAAGATCAGAGTAAAATGTTTTACAAGAACAGTATGCTCTTACCAGTGACCCAAAGATGTGAAGAAAGAGAGTTTCCAGATTACGTCAAATTTCTGCCCCATTGTGCTCGGTTTACTCCAAGAGATTAGTCCAGCTTTTTTGCATCATATTAAAATACAATCCGTGTCTCACAAAAGTGCTTGTTGCTATATGTCTAACTATCCCATGGGAGGTATGAATCAGATGACGTTATTCGAGGCAGAGAGAGCTGCCTGAATTGTCTAAGAGACAACTTATTCTTTTTCTCCAATTAGGAACATGTGTAAACTCATTTACACGTAAACGAGTCAATGTCTTATTGTTTCAGCATTGCAGTGGCTATATGCCTTCATCATTAAGGCTCACATTTAATGAAGACGGATGACTCTAGAAATCATTACATCACAATTTTTAGCATCACAAAGATCCACAATGCGGTTTGGATCAAATAGGACGCCACAAATTAGTTGATTGCATAAAGAGAGCATGTTAATATATCCATAACTACCTGTGGTCTGTGGTTCCACAAGGCTGTTGTAAGGCAGCTTTCTGTTCCTGTCCGTTTGGTTTAACCTCCGAAGATGTGAGCTGTCCCAGATGGGTCCTGTGGGAATGCAAACTTTATTACAGCGCACTCAACAAAGGTGCTACCAAAGGAACATTGGCTGCAACTAAATCTACAAGGAACACTGACCTCCTTAGGGACTAACAAAATTTGGTCTTAAAAAGTTGGACACAAAATTTGTTTGATCTATTACAGCGCAATATCATTTGCAATGTAATAGATCAGAAAAACTCATTCCTTGCACGTTCCTTAGGTTGCAGACACGTCTGCGAATGTGATCGGAAAATCCTGCTTGGATTCGTGGTAAATGGAATGTGTGCTAAAGACATTCAATATTTAAGTACTGACTTTTTTTTGTGCTCTCGGCATAGGTGCCACCAGAGTCCAAGTGGCCTACTTTTATCGGCTCAGCATCCCTTGGCATCTACGGCCCTTCTGAACCACGTCCAACCAGTTTTGAGTTAGCACCTGATATCTGATCTCATGATTGGCCTGAGGAGGACACATTTGGTCCATTTTGCACTGTATCTCTTTCCGCTCTGTCTGGTCACATCGGGAGATGCTGCAAACATATGGTAGTGGAGCACGCACGATGGCCTGATCCCCTACATCCATTCTCAAACTAATCTGGAGACACTTACTAGCCAGGGCCCCAAAGGAGAAGATAGAGTAATGGGAACAAACACAAGGTGTCTCATGCTTTCTAGATGACACATTACCAGAAGATACACTCCCAAATCCCAGGCGGAGGACAGAGGGCCTCTGGTGCTTCATGCTGACTGTCCTGCCTGTCAAAGGTAAATCCCTGAACCACTTTCCAGAACTTGCTTATAGTGTGCTGTGATAAGGAAATCATAGACCGAGGGATTCATTCACCAATGCCATTACTTTTTTTTCCCAAAGGCAACGTGTCCCACAGATATAGCCAAGCCTAACATGCTCAAGTAGAAACAGCACAGTGTCTTGACAGTGGATCGTTACTGGCATTACTCAACACACACTGAAGCGCTTATCTGCGGCAGACATGTCAGTCACAGTAGAAGCTTTGCAGGACTTACTCCAAGCCACCATTACTGTGATTATATGCCTCTCGAATACTGCATTGATTTACCTTGCAGGTTCACCTGAAAGAGAGCTTGTCATTCCCAAAGTATAGATCACAGAATACGAGAATGTCATTATTGCAGTTATACTTTTATCCTGAGTGGCCTGTTGGCATTGTGTCGCTTTTAAACCACTTTTCTAAATACCACAAAAAATAATGATTAAGAAAAGTGCGCAGTCATTTCAATTGTCTGCGCCATTTGATGTTATTCAGATAGCTAGCTAGGTTCTCTTCAAACTTCAATCGTGATAGTAAAGGGCCTTCAAACCAAGGATGATAACTGCAGTGATAACCATAATCATAACTTAAATGGTAAAATGGTAAATGGACTGCATTTATTTAGCGCTTTCACAGACCCAATGGCCACCAAAGCGCTTTACATTTTGCCTCATATTCACCCATTCACTCACTCATTCATACACCGACGGCGGTGTCAGCCATGCAAGGCGCCATCCAGCTCGCCGGGAGCAGCTGGGGTTAGGTGTCTTGCTCATGGACACCTTGACACTTGGTCAGGTGGAACCAGAGATTGAACCACCAACCTTCTGGTTTGTAGACAACCCACATGAACCACTGAGCCACTGCCGCCCCTTAAAGGTGCTCTACGTAACTTTTAGCGGCCTCTAGTGGTGATGTTTCAGATTGCAACCAAATTTTACAAGAGCGCTCGTGCTCGAACTCATAGACAATACCGTCTATTACGTAAATATCTCGGCGAATACTTGACGGATTCGGCGAGCACCGAGCTTGTTGGGACCATCTAGTCGAGGTGAAAAGAACCATATAAGTAGGCTACCATAGTTTTTGGTTGTGTTTTCGCGGAGATATTAGCAGAAAACCATCGGGCGCGCTGCAAAATTGCGGACGCCGGTGACGTCACGATCTCAGAAGAAAATCGCTCGTATCTCTGGAACGCAAAGACCCAGAGAGCTCAAATTCGGGGGAGGAGGTCCCAGGGGAACCCTTGCCTGAACGCTAGAGTGGCGGGCCTCGGGGGTGCCCCCTACCGGATCGCCGTTCACTGGGACCCCCGATTTCGAACGGCTATAACTCGGGAAGCCGGGCGAGTTGGACCTCGGGGGTGGGCTCGTTCGAAAGGCCCCGTCCAGCACTACGAACGATTAGAGTCTTGGGAATATTGATCAAAGATTGACTGAGATATAAGCCAAAAAACGTGCGCCTTTAACGGGACGTAACTCCCTGACCGTCTACAATAGACTGTATATAAGGAGAGAGGCTCGGGAGCGCGCATGCACGTCACATCCGTTGGATTTCGCGGTAAATCCGACCCGGAGACTTCACATAGAAATAGGAATACTGGCCTTCAGAGGTAATAGCAAAACTCGACAAGTGGATCATTTTAATGTGTGATTACAACCCCTTCACACACAGGCAATAAAAAAAGGTTTCATTTTAGTAGAAAAGTTACATAGAGCACCTTTAAGGGCACATGTGCAGTTATGTGCAGTGTGCACTTTAAAAGAATGTTATCATCTCCTGTTGCTGTGGATGCTAATATAGTTATTGTTATAGATCTCGTTCTTGGTGTGAGCATGCCTCAACTGATCTGAAAGAGACAATCAAACATAGAACAAGACAAGTATTCAGTAAGAACAAGACATAGAACGTTCAGTAATGCCTGAAAATTGGTTGGTGAATTGTGATCACAACAACAAATGACGCCGAGCTTGAATACATAGCATCTGAGTTGCATAGGCTATGGCTTAAACCCAAAGTCTTTCCAAAAACTTGAACAATAAATCTTTATAAAGGCCACCAATATAATTAGCAATAACCACATCACATAGTCTGTTTTATTCCATGACGGAAGAACTGCGTGTCCATGGCCTCAGTGGAACCTTGTAATATCCACACCCAGTAACAGGGCATTATTAGGATCAGGTGTGTAAAAGTTATTTACCTTGCAGTGGAAACTAGCAACTATTTATATATCAGTGTCCTCCTAACATAGACTGACACCCTGCCCTCCCATAACAAACCACTCATGCCAAGTTTATATTGGGAGATGGCTCTCACACAAGAGGGAAATTTAAACTTCATTCAGCAATTTTGTGATTATTTTGTACTGCCAGGAGTTTCAGCCCACAATATAAAGTGCAGTATCATTACTCTTTTAGGACTTCTCGTGTCACCTCATAAAGTCTGCACATTGTCCAATAGCCATACTCAGACAATTAATCCATTTATGCAAATAACAGTCTGTGGCCTTTTAATAAGACATTCCCCCTTTTTAATGTGCGTTTGGAGTATTGCTACCCAAGCCAGAAGCTAATCAAAAAACATGCAAGGGTTGGATTTTAATAAAAGAGCTACGTCAAAGCTGTGGCAAAGTGGTTAGCGAGCATGCTGTAGACATGCTGCTTATGCGGGAATCATTTTTGGTCCCCTCTACTGTCTGTAAATAAAAGCCTCCCAGGATATAGACTTAAAAATATGGCAACATTTTGCTGGCTCTAGCATTATTCTTTCTGAACATTTTTCCCAGGTTTTTCCAAAATGGAAAGGTGAATCATTTTGGCATGTTATGTAATCCCTTTGACAAAGCTCTATAGTGCTAACCAGCATTCTCTATGTATTAGGGCGAGTGCGAAAACACTGTGATGTCTTTAACGCAGTATACAAGGTTGGTAACAAGTAGGGATTTGTTTGAAATCAGAGGCATTTCATTTAAGAAGGCAGTGTGCCCAGGCAGCGGTCTCAAAATTGCATTCCACATCCCATCGTGTTTTAATGAATGCAAATGAGAACTCCAAAGTGGTTTTGTCTGTGTGTTTATCCTGCGTCGGCAAACATGTGGAAGTAGTTTTGTGCATCTGGCACATGTCCTGGCTGAGGTGTGCTCGAATGGAAGATGATGAGCTCTGTCTGATTGGGTTGAGAAGAAGATTAGAAGACACCAACTGTTCCACAGACTCTCAGGGGTGATGCATCTGTGCTCTATTATTCAAAACTGAACTGCCTCATTCTCACTGCATAATAATGATATCATAGCCAGATTGGTGAGTTTAAAAAAAAAAAATTATCTGGATTAGTTTCCCGCCTCAGTCTTTGAACTGTTTGAACCATGTATTTGAGCTGAAGTGTCAGCTTGAATACAGAAATTCGTTTTACACTGGACAAAAGTATTTTTCTAATTAAAAAGATTCTTATCAGCCTTTTTGTTTGTTTTAAAGTAAATATATATAAAAAAAACCTCTCGCACATTACCTTTGATCCCACTATCCACTCTTTTCCACATCAAAGCAACAGAAATCGATGTAACGGGCAGCTGAACTTCAGAGCAAAGTGAAACATCTGGAGAATGAATCGTTTGAATGGAGCAGATTACAGAGTGGCAATATTTACTTTGGCGCGTTGAAAATGACTTCGCCGTGCCCTGGATGAAACTGGCACGGACGCGCGGGCTTGCAGCTCATTACCGGATGACTGAGCGACATCTGGTTATTTAAAACCGAATTTTAGTCCTAAAGGTTTTTAAAAGCCTTGACTTAGACCTCAGAAATGTCAGGCGGTATTTTCCGTGCCTGCTGTCGACTCGTGTTGGGAAACAGGTAATAAATTCCGCAGAGAGGTTGAGGACCGGAGACCACTGTGGAGTGACAGTGAATGAGGGATAAACCGGTGCTGCTCCAAATTTCAGTCTGGGGCTGCAGTTTCCCAGTATTTCGCGACAATCGGTCATTCAAATAACGAATAGCCTACATCTAGTCATACTTTTTCCAAAGTAAAGACGTTTGAATGACAGAATCAGAAATAGGCTCGTGCTGCTTTGTGATACATTTACTATTTTGTATAAGGTTTTTGCGGGAAATGTCATAAATGGCAATATGATAAGATGCCATTTACACTTCTGTTCTCATGTCAGAATACTTGAATAGAATTAGATAGTAGTTGCTTAAAATTCACATTCATCTTACTGAAATTTCTTAATTAGGCTAGCCTAACAGCTTTCTTTTCAAAGTGTCAATTAATATGCAATGAGTCAAACTCGCAGATTTGTTAGCAAATTTACTAAAGAGCACTCCAGCCATTTGAGTTAATACACCTCTCACAAAAAAACAAGCTTTTGCTGTTTGTCTATGTCTTTCTAAGTGCTGACAGCTGTACCAAACTATTATTAATAACATCCTTACATGACAGTTATGAGATTATTTAAATTACATTACCTTGTGCCAGTGACACAACAAAGACGGTAGACAGCACCGACGTCAAGACTGTGAAGTCCCACATAGTGCCACTGTCACTGATGGGCAGCTGTTGGTAACAAAAAATAAATTAAAGAAACACACACGTACAAAAAGAAAAATAGGCTATGGGTTTGTCAAGTTTTTTTGAGAGATTTGACCAATGATTTAGTTTCCCCCGTCTTTCAATATCAAGTCTGATAGTTTTGTGAAGTTCCCAGAGTTTTAAAAGACAGGATGGAGTGGAGAATGGTCCGGACCAGCCCCCTCACGCTCGCCATTGGCCAGTGCGCTAACATCTGTGTCCTTGTATCATTCCAACAGAAAAAAACAACAGACAGAGATCTAGGAGAAAGGTGAATGTTGCAACAGAAAAAAATTATATGTTTGTGTTTTTAATCAAGATATGTTGCATTACCAGAGATCTGTGTGCATGAGCAGATATAAATCACATTGTGTGTTGTATTATGTTCTGACCTGGCGCATTGCATCATTTCAACCACAAAGGAAGATGATAATGTGATGGCAGCAGATGTATTGATTTTTTTTTTTTTTTTTTTTTTATCTGTTTATTTCATCATGTAATTTTCATATTTTACTGACATGCAACTGTTAAGCATTTCAGGAATGTTCCTCCAATGTTCAGTGAAATGACTGTTGCAAAAATAGGTGCATACAAAGGGAGTTGCAAACAGCTGAATGGTTCAAAATGTCTAACTGTCACAGACACTGACTCACAATAACTGTTTTGCATTGTTTGAAGGTGAAGTGTGTAATATTGTTCTGTTCATATCTAAAGGTGATGATACACAGGGCAACTTTTTGAGCAATGATGCTGGGCAATCTTGCCGAGCGATTGTTGCTTGGGCACTTTCAAAATGGGCAATACATTTCTATCTGGATAATTTAGATCGGTCGTGGGCCCTGTGTCTCATCTGGTTGCCCGTTGACGGCAACATTGGCCAGCAACATTGCTCAAAAAGTTGCCCTGTGTATCATCACCTTCAGCGTTATGTGTACAGACAACTAAAAATAGGACAAGTGCATAAAAGATGGTGCGAATTTGGAATTGAATTTTGTGGGAGTGTTCAGGAAACCTGTTTGAAACTAATTATTTTCGTAATTCGGTATAATGCCACAAGTTGCGCAGAAATTACTGAGTTACTGTAACTAAATGGGACTTATCCTGGTTAAATAAAGGTTAAGTAAATAAAAAGAAGTTGAGCAGCGAGCTCATTGGCTACTGATACAGCAGGAACCAATCAGCTGTGCCCTATAGAGAATGATGTGAATGCAAGCAGGTTGAGTTGAGAATCAGCCTGCGCCATCTAGATTTCATGACAGAGCTTTGTATTAAAAATAAAGAACACTAAAATCAAAAATCAATTGAAACGCTAAAGAGAATTTAGGCATAACAATATTACAAAGTGCAGTATGAAAAATGTAGGCCTATATTGATTTTTAGATTTACTAAAGATATATTTAAATCGTTAGTGTTTTTAAAGATGAACTTTAAGAGTGTATTAGATGACAGCAAAGGCAATCTAAATGTAAAAAATAGAAGAAATGAGCATAAAATCTCTAACATCAACCACTAATAATAATCTTTTTTGACTGTTGTGCACGATGGCTTTTAAGCCAGAGCGTAAAGGCAGAGCTTTGAAGTCTAACTCATGGTTCATGAGCAATGGTAATTGTGTTTAAACATTTGTAAATATCCCCATGCATGCTACATGTACAGTACTGTTCCACTGTCTGGGTCATGCATGATCCACACATCCATGATGTGAAGATGCGGTCACTTGCCAATTCATGGTGTCATCCAAACTGTTTTGAAAGCATTGGCAAACAGGGAATATTTTACTAAATGAGTCTGAAAAAAAAATCATGATCATAGATTAGGGAAACTGTGGTATCAAAACAGAATAAACAGCCAAATTTGCAAAGAAAAGCACAGACCAAAATATTTTTCCCCTGATTCCTTCTCAGTCTAAACAGATTTTCATATTTTCCTTTGTCACCATATTGAGTGCATATGGCTTCTTTTGCCGGTTACCTTTGTGAAGCTCTCTATGCGTGTTTAAAGACAATAAACCTACTTTTTGGCCTTCAGTGGGGTGACAGAAATGTAAAATGTTTATTGGCAGAATAAGAAATATGATCTCCGGATGATTTCATGTCCACCTTTTGATGAATATATCCGAGTTTACACAATGTCCTGAAACAGCATTAGTGATGAATCATTACGCTGCTCCGGTATTCCTGTCCACATACTGTAACTGTTGTTGCTATAGACAGAAACATTCCTTTATATCACCCACGCCTTTTCCTGTCTTTTGAATAAATCTCTGGGAAGAAATAATATACTGTATGGTCTAAAGAATATCGTAGCTACCGCTTGTTCCCAAATACTGGCTAATAGAGCACATTTTTCAAGGTTTGGCTAAATAATAACATCCAACGTTTCTTTAAACACCCGAATTTGACATCTCAATGAATAAACAGTTTTTACATAGATAATTTATTCATTCAACCTATAAGAACTAATAAAACACATGTACATTGAGGAATGTAAAGTAAAAACAAAATGATTTACATGTTGTTTGTCAGCCTCAGATATATACTATACAACTTTACCAAAAAAATAAAAAATAAAAATAAAGTACGGTGAATAATGTATTGGAGTAAAATTCCAGCAGAAATGCATTGGATTTGTAGGTGTCGTGCACATTGGACTGGAGACACTATCAGATTACTATCAGAACACTATAAGATTTGCGTATTGAACAAAACTGTATTGGCGATTTTGACGAATCAACAGGTAATGTCGAAAATTTGCAAAATTCAATAGATAATTCTAAACCCACTTTCTTAGCAGCGAAAACTCACCTTAACTACCCAAAGTATCTAGTCATATTTGTCAGTAACTGAATGCCACAGAACAATCTATAAAATACAAAAGGGGAAAAACATCCTTGTTATTCAAAATACATGTTTGTATAAACGGCTACAGTTCTATAACACACTCCGTGCCGGGGAATTCTGGCAGATTAAGTTCGTATTTTTTCTGAATGTCATAGGGCAGGAATCGTCCCGCCAGAAAATGTTTTCCCGAGAAACCTGTTGCGCACTTTTTGGGAGCTGTCAGAGAAATGAGAACTTCTGGATTTATCCCATCTTTGGCCGGTTCGTCAACATCCCAACCTTCAGGAAAAGAGAGATAGGAAAAGTGAATCCTTTCTCACCATCACAAGCCACTGGTCATTAACTGAAACATAACAATGTTTCCAAATTCTCCCAGATAGGAGGTGGAAAACTGGCTCGTAAAGAACATTCATCACAATATTGTCATGTGGAAAGCGAGCAGCAAAAATGCACTGTGTCAGCCATCAGCTGCAATTTTCAAATAAGGTCTCCTGATGACATAATGGCTGCGAGTTCACATTAGTTTTATTATTTGTCTGTTGCGAACACTTCAGGTCCAGTGCAACACATTTGCACATAAAGGTCTCTGGTCAGGTCATTTATCAGAAAAACTGGATTTCAAACAGATTTCATCACTCAAATATCCCTGGAGGTGTTAGTAACCCATTTCGCATACTTGCGCTAGTAACTATTAACTTTGGTTTGTAATGTATTTCTCAATAATAGAATGACTATTTTGCCTACTTAAAAAAATCTCTTTTATTTCTTTATTACTCATCAAAATAAGTTAAGCAATTTTATACAAGTTATACAAGATTGGATTTTTTGTAGAAATGACTTAAACATCCAAGTTGATTGTACTTAATTTAAGGCAGCAACTTTTTTTTTTTTTTACAGTGGTAGCGAATTAGCCTTGAAGGTGTAAGTAATCCATTTCTTATTAATATTATGACTATTTTGCTCACTTGCACGAATGTAAATTTTTTTTTACCTAGTATTTGATTTGACCTTTGTAGTATTGATTTGCTAGCAAGCTTTTAGCCAGTGCAGCTACTAGCTATTAGCTAAAGTCAACGCTGAAGTAATATCTGTTCCACAACAGTGACCAAACTAGATTTGCAAAATAATGATGAAACAGGTTTTTTGAACACTCAAACAGAATTTAGTATGGAATCATGTGAATGTAAATGAATTTGTAGGATGCTATTGCTAACATATATAGCCTACTTTACTGCATATCGTTAGCTGTAATGAATTCCACAAATGATGTTCAGTGTATAAAAATAGACTTTTCAGATTTGTTAGCAGTTTTCTTGAGTGTGCTGATGATTGCTAATGAGCATTTTTACAGTACGTCTTGATAAGCTGCAGTCTGACAAAAATAACCATAACATTTTTCTGAACAGATTGAGACTTTTTATCTTTTTCTTTTCCATGCGAGTAACCATATTTACTGAATGTCACATAATTTTTTCATTGTGGCACTGCACAATAAAGTGCATTTCTCTAAAATTCAGGATGTGTTTAATGAGCAAATACCTGAGGGCACGTCCACACTAACGATGGGTATTTTGACCTGTTTAAGAGTCACCAGCATCCCAGCATAGGGCTCCTTCACCTCCGTATTGTCGGTTTCTGGTCCCAGGATGGCATCGATCACCAGATTGTAGGCATCATTTAACAGCTGGACCTGGTCGTGGGGTCAGACGGGACTCGATTAGGATTGACAGAATGTCCAGAAGAGTGAACATCACATTGACATCTCTCTGCCGGTGAGCTTCATTATTTAAGACCGACACCCACCTCTGTCGGAAGATAGGAGAGGAAAGGGATGTCCATTTTCTCGCACTGAACAGTGAAGTCCTGGTGCAAACCCTGAGAAGAACGCTTGGGATAGAAAATGGTGGGCTCATATTCCTACAAGTGAGAGACAAGGGAAAAATGAGTTTCCATCCAGAACATCACTTTTCAGATTTCAATCTTTTTCTTCCTGTTATGTGATGATTAGCACATAGCCAGTTTTTATTATGTCTTCATTTATTTTTCTCCCAGATTCGGACTTTCCAAGTTTAAATTTACAGTAAATCAAATATACGGTACTTAATATTATATAGTATAAAATCAAAGCCATATATCTAACCAAGTTGTGTTCCAAATTTGAAGTTGATATCACAAAAATTGAAGTTCTCATGAGATTTTGTTTAGGCGTAATACCAAAAAAAGCCACCGGGTGACATACATTCCATTGAATTTAATTGTATGCATTCTGCCGTAACAAATTAATAAATTTCTGTCCAAATATAACTTCTGTCCCAAAATATGGAACCTTGAGACTCAGACCTTTCTGACAATATGTTTTTTGTCAAGATTAGAAAAGGTTTTGATCATAAATTATGAAACATGATGACGCCCAAAAGGGGAGGAGCCCGATAAAAGAATTTAGAGTACCGTTTCTATGGTAACGCAACATCCAATTTCAAAATGGTTTTCACAGGATGAATTCTGAGTTCGTAAGCTTTCAAATGATACTTAATTTATGATAACTACTAAAATATGTAATGTAATAAAAAGGCAATAAAAAAAGATAATATTATATTTTAGAGGATAATATAAATATATTATACTTTTTAGAGGATAATATTATTTTATAATTTTTTATAGACAAATACTAGATTATATGCTTTATTATGAACTTTTAGCATGAAAACCAAAGTTTCAATTATTAAAAGTGTGTGTCGACTTTTTGTGACAAAGGTCAGAACTCCTGTTATGATGTAGATTTTTTTAGGTGCACTCTTGCCATAAATTCATCGGTTACTCTTCCTACATAATTTGTAACAAAAATATCTATTTAGGAGTCTTAGACCTTTCCACCAATATATAGTTTGTCATGATTAAATTAGGATTTAATTGTAATATAGTGAAGTAAACTTAGGCGCCCCACTAGCGGGACGATGACAATTAAGGGGATAACTTTTTCATACTTTCATTTTTTGAAGTGCTTTCACTTCAGCAATAATCTGCTGAGTGTTTTCTTTAAAACAAGACCAAACTTAGGTCTATATTCCAAAGCATTCTTGAATTACAACCATTTAAGTTTGAATAGTGCATTTTAATGTCCATTCTCAAAAAGGGGGGTGACAGTTAAACTATGAGATTAATAAAAAAAAAAACATTTTGAAAACTCGAATCATCTAAACAAAGAGTGAACCATTTTAAAATGTATTGTGTGTATATTTATATTAATTGTTCAAAAATCTGTCCCTAGGTTGTGAAAAACACACATGAAAATGTGCCATACATGAACCTATGGAAGCTTGTTTCCGCCACTGAATAAAAATAAATAAATAAATAATTGCGAAATTTTTTATCTCACAATTGCGAGATATGAAGTCAGAATTGTGAGAAATAAAGTCGCAATTGCGAGATATAAAGTCGCAATTCTGAGAAATAAAGTCGCAATTGCGAGATATAAAGTCGCAATTCTGAGAAATAAAGTCGCAATTGCGAGATATAAAGGCGTAATTATGAGAAATAAAGTCGCAATTGCGAGATATAAAGTCGCAATTATGAGAAATAAAGTCGCAATTGCGAGATATTAAGTCGCAATTATGAGAAATAAAGTCGCAATTGCGAGAAAAAAAAAACAGAATTGCGACTTTTTTTCTTACAATTGCGAGTTTACATCTCGCAATTCTGACTTTATAACACATAATTGCGAGTTTATATCTCGAAATTCTGACATCGTTTCTCAGAATTGTGAGATATAAACTCACAATTGCGAGTTATCAGGCCAATTCTAAGGGGGCAAAAAACGTATTCCCCCTCAGAATAGTTTATTTCTATTTCTTAAGTCGCAATTACCTTTTTTATTTTTCATTCTGTGGCGGAAACAAGCTTCCATATGAACCAGACAGTCACCATGATTTTACCAAGTAAAACATGTTCCTGGATCGTCAAATAGTATTTTGTTGATCCTGGAACAAAATCCTATCTCTACCCCAAAACCTAAAGTTATCCCTAAAATCAAAGGGAAATGATAGGTGAATAACAGAAGCACCTAACCCTGATTTTAAGCTTAAACTTGACATAAACTGTAAATTTGTCCCTCAATTCTGATTGGTTTATTGGAATGTTGTTCCAGGATGAACATGTACTTGGTGAAAACACGTTCACCTAAACGGGACAAACGGTCTCCAAAAAGCTTTCTGTTTTTTAAAGCAATATTCTTTCCCCCTATGGATATGCAGGGGGATTTTTGAGTCCATAAATCACATTACATAATTACCTCATAATTTCATTTCAGAAGAACATTAGTAGTGATTAATGTGGACTAAAATGTATGGTTTTAAACACCTCATTTGCTCAAAATACAGGATGAAGTCTACACATCCTGGATAAGTTGCCAGGTACATTCATTACAATCCTGCAGTTAAACTTAATGTATTTGTTACATAACGCTGGTACAGACACAAGACTCCATGCAGATGTACACTGGGAATGTATAAAACAGCTGTCATCATGTGATGACCCTCTATTGTTAGTTTTTTTTTTAAGTTTTCCGTTCCGTTTTTTTTTTAATCCGTTCCAAGAATCCCATAATGTAAACTGGCCAAATCTTAACTGGCCAAATTTTACTCCATCAGAATGAAAAGAAGGATAACTTTAACAGAGTATATGATTATTAGACGAATACTGATGCTCCATAAATCTAGCTTCACAGAGGAGCATGGTGAGGTTGACATATATGGCATATCATTTTTTTCTTTTTTCTTTTGATCTGGAAATGTTGGAGCATATGCTAACCGCTAGGCAACAGATGCAATGATTCTTTCTAAAGATACACTTAAAATCAACATAAAAAGCATTCAGAAACCCATTTTACATTCATAATATTCTGCATTTCTGAGTTAAACAGGTTTTTTAATGACACAAATGAAGAGAGGGACTTGATTTTATCCATTAGATAAAAGTGGTTTGAATATGACAGGAGGGGAAGGGCTGGAAAACAAAGGCCCTGTCCCAAATGGCACACTTCGTATGCACTATACATTGGCCTCCGCATTCGCATGATCGTGAAGTCCATGAGACCGTAGGATGCCATCTGTCATTTTAGGTTTCAGAAGGGTGCTCACGAGCTCACGATGCTCACTTTGTGGCCAATATGCGCCATCGATTCACAATTTTGTCGCGCCCGCACTGAAGCGAGCTCCTCAGCAGACATCTATCCAACGCGCCATTACGTCACGAAAGTGCGACTAGTGGGAGGAACGCAAGTGTTTAGGGTGCCATTTGGGACAGGGCCTAAGAGGGTTTGTTGATGTCACCAGAAAGAAAAGTAATTTAAGAAACGTAGAAAAATGCTACGTTTTAATGAACGATCACAACTTACTTTATACAAGTAACTTTGGAACAATGTGCAATGAATCATACACAATAATAGCAGAAAAGTGCACTAGGAAAGCAAATACACCCTGTCAGCATCCATTCTGTCTCAGTGCCCTTTGGCATGGTGTTCTATACTTACAAATATACGCAGATGGCGGGCACACACCAGACCGATAGAGCCGTTCTGCTCAGGACCACAAACAACCAGCAGGGTGGGCTGCTTTTTATTCAAAGAGCTCAAAGGAAAAGCCTGGGGGGAGACAAAGGAGAGGGACACAGTTAAACAGGGCAGGGAGACGTCTCATTTTGCTCTATATCTGCATTTGGAGAGGCAATGTTCATCACAATAACCCAGCAACAGTTGCAACTATAGTAAAAAGCTGGGGAGACATTACCACAGGCTGCAGGCTTAAAATAACACGCTTTCTGACAGGTTTCTAAACTAGGCCTGCACAGTGTGTCCAACTCACACTCACAAAACTAAGTCTTTAAAGGTGAAGAGTGTATTTTCTGTCACTAAACAGAATTGCTAAAATATGAATTGTTGTCTAATAGGTTTACATGTTAGCCTGACGTCGTCATACTCAGATTCTAGTCAGAATGGGAGTCTGATACTGCTCCATTGGGCTGTGATTATGGGGCGTTTCAACCGAACCAGGAAAGAAAATGCCTCTGCATTCAATTGGATAGACCGAATCCCATAGGAAGGACAACAAAAACATCTTTCCGATCGTGGTTCTCTTTTCCTCTTTTAAAATGAATGTGCTGAGCCTGTCGATATCTTCTATAACAGACAAGATGGCGGAATCTACACACCTCAATTCTCCAGCGGCAGCCACCTTTGTTGTAAACGAATTCAACCCAAGCGCTCTTTGGTGACGTGGATGATTACGTTACTGTTGATCATCTGTTCATCATCGTATAAAGCCCGCCCTGACAATATGATTGGTCCGAACAGCTTTGGTTCGGGCATACTTGCTTCACAACGGATCAAGTCCAGACCGAACTTCCCGACCTCAAATGTTGTGGGCGGGGCTAAGTTCGGCTGGCATCCAGGCTATTTCCATGTGCTATTGGACAGCAAGACACATAGCCACGCCCCAAATGCATGCCATTGGTTGAGCTGTTGCTATGCCTTGCTGCTCATACTTAAACATACAGCAATGTTTTGATAGGCCACAGAGCAAGTACTCTTTAGGGAAATCAGACTGCAAATGCCGTACTTCGTCGTTTATGCATATTATGCTCTAAAACATTTTAACATTTTACATGTTTGCAGTCAACCTGAATGGACATTTGTTACTCATCCACCTGGTGCATATCTTACCATAAAGCTTATGTTTTGAACAGACTAATGAAGTAAAACCAACAGTTAAGGTAATGTGCCTGCTTTATTCATCTCCAATTAACCGTCGCTGAAATATGGAACCTCGGCACAACTGTGGGCGTAATTGCAGACTTCCAAGAAAGAGAAGAAGCCAGACGCTAATGAAGCTAATGGCACTTTGGAGAGAAATTATCAGCTGACATGGATGTTCCATTAGCGAGCTGATGAAGTTTAGATTACATTATCATTGCTGGGCTTCTTAGTCTCAGTGCTGGGTGAACAAGAGTTGAACACACGTCTGAGTGTGGAAAATGAACGTCTGTTTTCATCTGTTGCCATTTTGAGAGGAATCTGAGTAGAAAAAATTCCCATTGGCCAAAACTGAGCTTGTCAATGAAGTTGATTATAGTGGGCAGTATTTGCTTAAAGTAGCAAAGCTGTTAATTCAACTCCATTTTCAGTAGAGGAACTGTAGCTAAACTGTTTTCAAATGGTGATGGAAATAATTTGCAGATTTGAACAGAAGTCTTTGCATCTTTTTTACAAGTATTCTGTCAAAAACAATCTTAATGTTTGATTTTTTAAAGTAGCTTCCACAACACTGATAATGGGTGCGGTGTAGTTTTAGTATAGACAGTAGTATAGGCAGTATAGACATGGAAAGTAAGGCGTCTCAATATGCTCCCTAGTGGTCTCCTAAAGTAGTAGGAAACCATTTTCAAGGCTGTCTCATTGTCAAATTCAAGTGCACTACAACATTCCCTACCAGAAAAATTCCCAGATGCAGAAATTCACTGCACCATAAAACCAGTTTGCATCATCTGCTCACAATCATGTTGTTGGTTATTGAGTCATCAGTTTGTCAAAATGTAATGGATTGAGTCCTTTGCTAGTGCTTCAAATTTGTATTCATGGTATACTGATGAATAATTCCGGAAGATTCAACCATGTGATATGGACAGTCGATTCACATGAAGCTCATGTGAGTATGTGTCGTATGAAATAATAACCTCTCCCTCCATCTCTGTTCTGTCCATTCCTTCTTCTCTGGAAAATGACATGGAATAGTGTTCCTGTGAGCCGTAGCCAATGGATTCACCGTTCATTTCTTTTACAGGTCTGCTGAGCTGTGCTGGAATTCGTCGTATCACCTCCTGCCAGGACTCTGGAGACCGCCGCTCTGATCTGCTCCTGTTCGGAGCAACTCAACCCCTAGATTTCGCTTCCATGCTTCCAGCAAATGAGCTCTCTAGAGAGGGTCTTGACTAATTAGCCTTGCAGTTTTTTACCCTCAACATGACACACATAAACACCAGGGCTGTGTTTAATTCAGAATTGAACTAAGAATGATTTTTAAATTTAAAGTAAACCGGGAAATTTGAATTGAGGATTCAAAGAATTCCCATTTGCCCATTTTCACTTGTGTTCTGTATTTTGGGTAAGTTTGGGTTGTTATTCCACAGCATGAAGGTAAGATCTTGCGTATTTATGAATGAACCGCTCGTTTTAAAATCTTCCGGGTCTAACTGACATTTGTTATGACATCTGCTTCAAACAGTACAAAGCTCATGATAACTTTCGTTAACTCTACAATAAGTAAATACACTTCACCAGTTAATTACTCTTCGACACCGATGCCATAGAAATATACAGAGCTTCCGCAAAGACGTAAGTTCAATGACAAAAAAAAGGTCTCTAAGCTGTTTCCCAATTCAGCAGCTGCATCCTTCAAAGGCTGCGAAGGTTGGACTGGGCGTTGTTAAATGGGACGGTCTGGTCTACGGAGGATTGTTCTTGTTGTCTAGTAAATGTGACAGCTGCAGTGACAGTAACGTTTGTACTGGACCTTTTTGAAAGTTATATTAAACTGTCTGAAAAAAAAAAACATGTATACGCAACCAATCACAGTTTGTTTTGTTCCACATCATGTTTAGGGGCGTGGAAATGTAAAGTCGATGTCCCTACAATAACGGACCGGTGTGCATCTACTAAATTATTCATTCAAAAATGTTGTGCAAGTTTACTGCAACAATGGTGCTGTGAACTTCACATACTTTTGATAATCCAGTGTTTAGTTGATCCTGATAAGCGCTCATTGTCACAGTTGTAAGCACGACGGTGTTCTTCTTCCATGAGGGGGTTTGGCTTCACGGCATCTTTGTTTCCATTATGAGAAAATACTTAAATACCCTAAAATACTCAAATTAAAACTAAAACTCAATTTAAACCAACAATGATAGAATGAAAACTAACAAAAACTGACATCTAAAACGGAATTATTAAAAACAAACAAAAATCATTTATCATTTTTAGAATAAAGAAAAAACAAATTTCCTTTGTTTATAATTTCTGTGGATAACTGTTACATCTTTCATTTATTCTATTTTATCGTGTAGTCATGTTGAGATAAAGGGCAAATACAGAGAGATCACAGAGAGTGTCATGTCAGTCTGCATTTTTTACTCAACACACAAAGAGCGTTTCATGAGCCATAGTGATAAAAATAACTTCCTGATATCTAAAGCAGGGAATGATCACAGACATCAGCCTTGACGTAGCTCAACGCCAAAGCCCTTATCCCCCCGATGTAGACGGATGACGTTGATTTTGGCGTCCACTGTGGTGGATAGTTTGGTTGTGAAATCACAATGTGGTAAAATTCAACCGAGATTCCGTCCCCCTCACACACACACACACACACACACACACACACACACACACACACTGATGTGTGCTGATGTAATGCTTGTTTTACAGCTACTAGTTGGCATGTTTTCTTTAGCTGCAATTTATGGCTACCTCACAGAGGTCACAGCACAGGAAGTTTTGTTGATGCTAACCGCGGCGACTGCTGGTGACCGGGAGCCTTTGAGCGGTGGAAGGTTCAGTCTGTAAAACGCTTCTAACAGCGCTTGAAAATTCACACAAGCCAAATCAGGAAACAATTTTGGGCTTTAACCGACTCTCAGGTAGGTCAAGAGGAGCCCCGCGCTGCCTGTCAGCCTGACTGAATCCAGATGGGATGGTGACCGCAGTAGTCTGGTTTGGGTTGGCCTGGCTCTATCGGAACCCTTAGGCCGCCCTGAAACGTAAGGCCCTGAGACAGCCTGACTGCAGGCCGGACACAGACGAGAGACTTTCAACACCTTCCATGATGGTGCATTGGATCTGTCACAAGGGATTTTTAAGCAGAAGTTAAAGTGGGATTTTGGAGGTGGGTGAACCCTACTGTGCTCACAGGAACTCGGCAAGATCCCACAAAAAAGCAAAATCCCCTTTTTTTGCATGGAAGCCTGTTTCTGCCATATTTTTTCGCATAATTGCAACCTTATATCCTACTATGTTTTATTTCAGAAATGAATATATATATATCATAATGTGACTTAATATGTTTACAATTGCGATTATTTTCAGATGCAGCTAATTTTTCTAATTACAACTTTTGGAAATCATAATTATGACATTTCTTGTAATTGTGACTATATTTAATATAATTGCAAATTTATATCTTAGAAATTGTTACTTTATATCTCACAATGTGGCTATATTTCACTATTGTGACTTTTTTTTTTTAAACTGCAACTATTTCTCATAATTATGACTTTTTGCTAATTGCGACATGTCTTGTAATTGCGACTATTTTACATAATTACACATTTATATCTTAGAAATTGTGACTTTATCTCCCCATGTTTCGCAATTGCACCTTTTTCTCAGAACGGCAACTATTTCTCATAATTATGACTTTTTGCTATTTAATTGCGACATTTCTTGTAATTGTGACTGTGGCGAGCAGGACGAGGTCGAGGGCAGTAGGAGAACGGCGCGAGGCCGGTGGCGTGATTGATAATGAGCCACACCTGCGCGACGCACCGGTCTCGTATCTCTCACGGAGGAGCAGAAGCATAAAGGAGGAGCGACGACAGTGAAGATGGAGAGAGGAACAGGCCTGATTTTATGTTGTGTTGTTTTATGATGCGTGTCTTTACTTTCATAAAACAACACAACATGACTAAATATGACTTTTTGCTACTAAATTGCGAAATTTTTTGTAATTGCAAATTTACATCTTAGAAATTATTACTTTATAATAACCGAATTGCAATCTCACAATCTCACAGTCACTTTGTTTCTCAAAATTGTGAATTTATTTCTCAGAAAAAAATGACTATATCTCACAATGTTTCGCAATTGCAACTTTTTCCCCAGAACAGCATCTATTTCTCATAATTACGGCTTTTTGCTACTCGGTTGTGACATTAAATTAAACATTAAAGTTCTCAATTATCTTTTTTATTATTTACTCTGAGGCAGCAACACACTATCATCCATTTGTGATAGTACTATAATTGCTATAAAACTAGCAAAAAGCACAGGATAAAATCAGTCAAAAAATAAATGCGCATATATATTATATGAATAAATAAATAATTATTGTGTCTATTTGGAATCTAAAATGCTGGATTGCTATTCTGGATCGTTCTTCAACCCCTTTTCATAAGAAACCCCCCAGAGCTACAGATGCGGTCAAACCCTCTACAGAAACAGCGAGATCAAAGATGTCCCACTGTTTTCATCATCACTTGCAGCAGGGCCTCGTCTCTTAAGAGAATTGGTTGAAGTTCGGCAAATGCAGACAGATGCTGAGAGCAGTAAATGCAGTGTTGTGTAAATCACAGTTATGCTTGTATGCAGTTAATACAGGATTAGAATCAGGATTTAGACACGTTAACTGCCACTTTACACTATGTGTAATTCATGTTCTCGTGTCGGACAAACCTTGGTGACGGCAATAGCGCAAGCATGGCCCCATATTTCAATCAGCTGCTGCTGCCCAAAGCGATAGTCCCTCAGGAGCTCCATCTCAACGGTCGCCACCTCTGTTTTACTATAAAAGACAGAAAAAGAAACAAATTGCATTAAAAAAGAGCTCATGACACGCACGGTATTAGCTTACCAGTGGGGACGATAAATAAATCATGTTCATGTTTCGACATGAACGTTAACAAGTGCCAAGATAAAAAATGGGTAGGTTTGATTACATGGAAACCAAGGACTGCAATACACCACCTGACATTTACGTGTGTATTCTAAGCACATTGTATTAGACATGCCATCCATTCCAGGCATGGTGCCTGTTTAGCCGTACTTAGAGCTTATGTTACTGTGAGTTTAATGGGAGCACAACGTATCTGTAAAATCCAGGCCCTTACTTCACATCTAAAACACGAAGAGCCTTTCAGTAACCGTAACTGTACGGTCGTAACATCAGAGCCCTCTGCTGGAAGTACACAGAAGTGCTGTCAAGATCTTGATAGTAAAGTTGTATAAATTAACATTAATGCACTATGAACAAACATGGATAAATGAACAATATAGTATATTTATACGATATATCCTATACTAATCAGTGATGTAGAAATTGTTCATTGTTAGTTTATGATACTTAATGCATTAATGTTAACAAATATAATCTTACTTCAAAGTGTTAATTTTTTTAATGAGTGCTACCTATTAATTCATTCATTTATTCGTTTATTTATTTATTAGTATATACATCCCTGCTGCTTATATTTTCAACATTAGAAAGGTTATGAAGTGTTGAGGAACAAAAGCAGCCAAGGCACAAAAAAAAGTTATATGTCAATGAATAATGACTGTAAATATAAACTACTAAGAACTGTTTTGGTATGAAATAGAGCTGAAATAAAATATAAATATTACATGGAAAACAAAAACATACTAAATTACTACACTGTAATGACAACATATGTTTTTACATTGCTTTAACTCATCAAAATAAGTTACCGGTAAGCAATTTTCAACTTTTTTATAAGTTATACAAGATTCAACTAAGTCATTAGGTCAGTTTAATGTAATTTAAGTTGAAATGACTTAAACATCTTAGTTGATTGTACTTAAGGCAGCAACTTTTTTTACAGTGTAAAACTAATGTAAAAAGTACTAATAAAAATAAAATAAAACTGAAAAATTAAAATAAAACCTTCTTTAAAGTATTTGTAAATAATATAATAGTACATGAATAATACTAAAACAACACCGACATGCGACATCATTATAGGATTTTGCAGTTGATGGCTGTAATTTTCCTCAGAGTTTAATGTTCTCCATACCTTTCTGTCTATTGCAATTAGTTAATGTAGTATTTCACCCCGAGGAATATTCCGCAGTGTTTCCAGGACAACAGGTTTGTTTGTGTTGTGTCTGTTGTCTGCAACTGCTTTAGGCACCAGAGGAACAGAAGAAAGAACTATTTACAAAAAATGATTACACATTATTGAGTTCTCTCAACTGTGTACATGAAGTTCCCTGGCTGAATGAGGCCTTTTTCATTTCAATTCAAAGCATCTATCTGCAACTCTCTAGTTCTCATTCACTCTTCAGAAAAAATAATATCGAGTTTTCTAAAGAAAAATGATGAGCTAGTCACCTGAACAATCTGTCTGTGCTTGACATTTTTGGGGCCATGTACAGAGCTAATAGGGTCTGTACTACCTCAGCCATATTTTTGTCTTTGGTCACTTAAAATGCAACAGGTCACCAAGTCTTTTCTTGGGTCGGCGATGCACTCTGATCATTGCCGTAACCCTCGGCATGGAGTTTTCCAGCCTTCTGGCATTTACCGTCTCCAAGAGAGCTCCACAGCCGTCAAGCCGAGTTTGCAGGGGAGATTTCCTGGCGTACTGTGACACAGTGATATTTGTAAAGTTCAGCCGAGTCTAGCGCTTTTGATATTTCCGTCCCCAACGACCTATTCGGGGAAATCCTGATGGCTGTATTTCCAAAGTTCTCAGAAAGGTTCTAGGCACCAGAACACAGGTATCTAAAACCTCAATGTCGTAACGTTTCCAGTATTTAAAAACTATTTCTGGCCTGCAAAGAAATCTTGCTTCACTTAATATCTCTCAAACATCAAAACACTTTGAATGCATTCTTGAGCCTTATTTGTTCAAGTTAGGCTTTTTTGTGGTGGGCAAACTGCAATAAGTAAATCTAACCACCAGGGGACAGCCTGGCCCAGAATGTTCTCCCAGCATCCTCACACTCATCAGTATAAATTGCATTATAATATTAGGTGAATTGACATATATCAGCACATCTACACATTGCAATGCCATAAAAGAACCATTTTTGGTTACTCAAAGAACTTTTCAGTAAACAGTTCTAAAAAGAATGGGGTTTTTTTCATAGCGTGCAGAACATTTTAATCTAAAGAACCCTTTTCCACTATAAAGAACCTTTTGTGTAATGGGAAGGTTCTACACTCTTAAAAATAAAGGTTCCAAAATTATTTTTTAAAGTGATGCTATAAAAGAACCATTTTGGGTTATCCAAAGAACCTTTCAGTAAACAGTTGTTAAAACCATTTTTTCTCTAAGTGTGAATAATAATCTAAAGTGCAGGAATTCTCAAATGGTTTGGCCATGGGACCCAAATTTCCCCCTGGTCATTAAGCCGTGACCCAATTTTTTTTTAGGAATTTGATCTAATTCCTAAAAGAATCTAAAATGTGTGTGTGTGTGTGTGTGTGTGTGGGTGTATACACACATTATATATATATACACTGTGTATATATATCTAATTTAGCTATTTTATTTCACAAAAAAGGTTGACACACACACAATTACTTTACATACATATAAATTGTAAGAATATGACTAATACGGATGAGATAATAAATAGCAGTCCCAAACTAGTTTTTGTTAATACAATTAAGTTAGTAAATTGGTATGAGCCTCCACAGTCATTAAAAAATATACAAAATAACCCAGTGAAAATAAAGGTCTACCCAATCCTAACATGGAAACTGCTCCTGATGAATAGAATGAATATCATGTGATGATGTGTAACTGTATGACCATAAATGACTGCGTATTTAAAAAAAAATTTCTGCTGTTATAATGAGACAAAATCATTTAATCAGATGTACATTTTTCTCTCTCACTCATCTTTCCGTGATTTCCTGAAAAAACGTAATATTGAACTTTGTGTATCCGCCATTGTCACCGCATGTTAATGAACTCTCACACGCAAACAGAATTTCAGCGTACACGTTAATCAAACCAAAATGGTAAATGAGGAACCCCGCAGGCCCCCTTGTGGCTACGCTACAGGTGGACCTTTTTCTGGTCTGTTCCATGCTGGTGGAATGACCATCCCAACTCAACCAGCTGCTGAGTCCGTGACCATTTTCAAGAAACGGCTGAAGACGCATCTTTTTCGGCAACACTTGATCCATTAATAGCTACTAACACTTTATCTTCTATTCTATATCTATTATCTTAAAAAAAAAAAAAAGTACACGTACTGTGTTAGATTAAACTGGGAAGGGTCATAGCACTTGCATATTGTTGTCCTATAGTTAGTTTAACTTAGCCTGACAAGCCAGACCCACATCAAGATGTTGGGTCTGGGAACACACTATTGGCAGGGCTCAATCCGAGGGGCGATATAAACGGTTGTCTTTCCAAATTCCCTCTGTACGCAATAGGATAGCTACTAGGGATGAGTCGCGATCTTCGGATAGTCGAATAGTCGAACTGCGTTCGAAATTCGATCATAAAATTGCTTATTCGAATATCGTTATATTTTCGCGCAATTCCAATGTGACATAATTGACGGCGCGCCTACTGTCACAGATCGCGCAGCAGGGTATTTTCCTGTCAGGGACACAAGGTGTCACTAACATGAATGAAACCCCCTCCTGCGCGATCTAGGATACCAGTGTTTTATACATAGTGTAAACAAACAACAGAAGAAGAGTATTGTCACCGTGACCGTTAACTCTGCGCCCAACAGAGGTGGGTAGTAGACTAACCTTTACTGTCTATGGTAGTAGCTAACCGTCTATGGTAGTAACAAAGTAGGCTACATTTACTTCACTACGTTGGGCGACGTTCCTCTCGTTACTTTATTTTAATGCAATGTTGTTAAATGCGTAGTTTATTCCAAGCGCGCTGTGTCTTTTTTATGGGCATGATGAGCGATGCTCTATTCACAAATGAATCACTCTTTTGAGTCGATTCTGTTCAAAGACTTGATCAAATTTGGCAGATCTGTCTAAATCGGTTCGCGAATCAGTTTGAATGATCTATTCAGTTCCTCGCGCACTGAATCTTCTGAAGCGCTTTCAATTCACACTCGACACGGAGTCGTAACAGGAAGATTTAAGAACATCAAGAGCGTTGGATGAAGTTGCCGTGGACCTACAGTTTAGTCTAGTGAAAAAAAATCTGCAAATGCATCATATTTTTACCAGCGATGAAGATCTAGTTGAACATCTTCGTATGATGTCTGTGAATGAATGATTCCACAGGACGATACATTCTAGTTCATTTCATTCAGGTAATACATTTTACAACCAAACAGATTATTACTCGACGATAGCACTACAAGTATGATGACATTATCCGTTTTTTGGACATACATTCATTTATAGGCTACATTAAATAAGCTACCATTGTCCACAGTTTATGAAATGAACACCCGCCATCCCGCAGTAATGTGTGTGTATTGCGCAGTGGCATCACACGAATTTTGATTGAAACTAATTTGTTTAAAAAGTAGGCTTTTGCAGTAACAAGGCAGGTTTGCATAAAATCATTATGACATTATTTTTTTTATCTAACGAGCATCTGGTTTGGCGATGCAAAAACGGACTGTCGTGCTTATTGTTTTTTTCTTCTATGTTAACTACCGGTATGTTAAAAAAAACCCGACGAAAACATGTTAATTATTCGAATAATAAACAGTTTGTTTGATGACAAAATCGCTAAAGATGAAATTGGCCTCCCTTTCTGCCATTGAGTGTGCGGTTTTTTGTGTGTTTTTTTTTTCGATTTTCGAACGATAATCGACTTTTGCTCC